GATGTTATCCAGATACTGACTGTTAGCACTTGGTGGTCTATAGCAGCTTCCTACCAGAATGGGCTTTAGGTGAGGTAGATGAACCTGTAGCCATATTACTTCAACAGTATTTAACATGAGATCCTCTCTAATCGAACAGTCTAAATCTGGTTCTTAGGCACATGATTACTGCACACACTAGCTGTATGATCAGCAGAGGCATTCAGGGCAGTTACAGGGACATAAATTAAGTTACCTACACTACCAGTCAAAAGTATGGACACACCTACTCATTCAAGGGTTTTTCTACATTGTAGAATAATAGTGAAGACATCAAAACTATGAAATAACACATATGGAATCATGTAGTAACAAAAAAAAGTGTTAAATAAAAATATATTTTATATTTGAGATTCTTCAAATTTGCCACCCTTTGCCTTGATGACAGCTTTGGAGATTTAACGATGCTCTTATGAAGGTTCTAACGATTAATTTAGCCTTAAGATGCTTTTGGGAAACCGGGCCCTGATCTGGTATCCAAGCACTCGTCTTGGAATTTTCTCACATTGTCTTTGGTTGTGTGTAGTTTGACCTCTGAGAAATTACGAGAAGGCCCTTCACAGGAACTCTTTTACTCAGGCCCTATGCACAACAGCCACAGCAAGAGTGTGCCAGTGCCAATTATGGGTCCTCCGTCTTCAGAACAGTAATCTGCTTGGTTTATTTCCTCCTCTCTCTCTCTCTCTCTCTCTCTCGCTCTCTCTCTCTCTCTCTCTCTCTCTCTCTCTCTCTCTCTCTCTCTCTCTCTCTCTCTCTCTCTCTCAACATTTAATGTGGTTGTCTTTGTTCAGAAAGCTGAGTGGTGCCATTTAGTTACGGCAAAGATTATCTATATACTGACAAGATACTCGACTGACCACTCTAACAATGGAAATAAATGTCAGCAAAGGTGGAAGGCAGGCGGGAGGAGGCGCAAACATTCTACCATGTGAACAACAGCCACAACTTCGATATAACAAAATGTTTCTAAAAGTTGCCGGGATGCCACGTGCATCCACTTATATCAGTACATTCGTAACAACTTAAACATTACGAAACTTCTATTCAATCAAATAAGCCTCACATAGCAAATTAGCAATTCAATTCAACCAAACTCTGACAGCACACAGTAATTTGCTCAGAAAATGAAGGGAAGGAATGACAGAGGGTTTCTGTTTATAAAATGCACCATGTTTAGCAAAAGGAATGCAATTATGTCTGCTAGGAAGAGGATAAAATGTGTGTGTGTGTGCATGTGCACGAGAAAGAGAGAGATTTTACTGTTTCCCAACTCCGGTCCTCGACTACCCCCAACATTACATATTTTTGTTGTGGCCCCGGGCAAGCACAGCTGATTCAACTTGTCAACTAATCATCAATCCCTTGTCAAGTTGAATCAGGTGTTTTTGTCCGGGGCGTACTCGAGGACTGGAGTTGGGAAACAATGTCGTAATGTAGTGGACAAGTGGTTTCCTGCCACGGCATTGGTCAGGAATTAAAACACAAATGTTCTCTCCTACCTGTCTGCACACCTAAAATCATAGTGGAAACTATCTTAGGCATTTTGTTGTATGTACAGTGGGGGAAAAAAGTATTTAGTCAGCCACCAATTGTGCAAGTTCTCCCACTTAAAAAGATGAGAGAGGCCTGTAATTTTCATCATAGGTACACGTCAACTATGACAGACAAATTGAGAAAAAAAATTCCAGAAAATAACATTGTAGGATTTTTAATGAATTTATTTGCAAATTATGGTGGAAAATGATCACAAGAACGGTGAGCAAAAATCCAGAACCACACGGGGGGACCTAGTGAATGACCTGCAGAGAGCTGGGTCCAAAGTAACAAAGCCTACCATCAGTAACACACTACGCCGCCAGGGACTCAAATCCTGCAGTGCCAGACGTGTCCCCCTGCTTAAGCCAGTACATGTCCAGGCCCGTCTGAAGTTTGCTAGAGTGCATTTGGATGATCCAGAAGAGGATTGGGAGAATGTCATATGGTCAGATGAAACCAAAATAGAACTTTTTGGTAAAAACTCAACTCGTCGTGTTTGGAGGACAAAGAATGCTGAGTTGCATCCAAAGAACACCATACCTACTGTGAAGCATGGGGGTGGAAACATCATGCTTTGGGGCTGTTTTTCTGCAAAGGGACCAGGACGACTGATCCGTGTAAAGGAAAGAATGAATGGGGCCATGTATCGTGAGATTTTGAGTGAAAACCTCCTTCCATCAGCAAGGGCATTGAAGATGAAACGTGGCTGGGCCTTTCAGCATGACAATGATCCCAAACACACCGCCCAGGCAACGAAGGAGTGGCTTCGTAAGAAGCATTTCAAGGTCCTGGAGTGGCCTAGCCAGTCTCCAGATCTCAACCCCATAGAAAATCTTTGGAGGGAGTTGAAAGTCTGTGTTGCCCAGCGACAGCCCCAAAACATCACTGCTCTAGAGGAGATCTGCATGGAGGAATGGGCCAAAATACCAGCAACAGTGTGTGAAAACCTTGTGAAGACTTACAGAAAACGTTTGACCTGTGTCATTGCCAACAAAGGGCATATAACAAAGTATTGAGAAACTTTTGTTATTGACCAAATACTTATTTTCCACCATAATTTGCAAATACATTCATAAAAAATCCTACAATGTGATTTTCTGGATTTCTTTTCCTCATTTTGTCTGTCATAGTTGACGTGTACCTATGATGAAAATTACAGGCCTCTCTCATCTTTTTAAGTGGGAGAACTTGCACAATTGGTGGCTGACTAAATACTTTTTTTCCCCACTGTATTATAACCTCCTTGCATTGCCAGGTACCTGTATTAATGGATCACTCATCCTTTGGGAATATGCTTATATCATTGTGGGTTCAGAATTACTCAAAGTGAAGGCATGCCAAAGTCACACTTCCATGCAATGGCGATCAAGAAAAAAAAGTTTTCCTAATGGTGAGCTAATTTGTTGTTTTATTTTTATATGAAAAAATAGACAAAAATAAGTTCACCTAAATCAATCATGGAATTTTAAAGCTGTTTAAATTATTAGAATCTTGAATTCTGAGTAGTAGCCTACATTGGAAGTGTCAACCATTTCCATAACTCTTCTAACAGAAAATAAACAATGGAGAGTTTGTCTCTTTTTGAATTGAGTTCCATTCATTCAGCAGACCGTACCAAAGTTTCTCTCCACTGCCAAGAGTCAGCAGGTAGTCAGTGAGACAGTATCTGCAGTTTCACCCTGAACAGTCTGTGCAAATACTCCATGCAAAGGCCCCCACCGGTTAAACATCCTCCAAATGTCTCACATCTCTCATCTAGCTCTGTCTGTGACCTATTGCCTGGTTGAAGAACTTTACCCAACCTCCATCATACAGCCTATATAGTCTACATTATACTGAACCTTAGTCACTGTTCTGTACCTTAGAGAGTCATTGAACACTGGTCACCTAATTATGTTTACATACTTTTTCACTCACTATATGTACAGCGCATTTGGAAAGTATTCAGAGCCCTTGACTTTTTCCACATTTTGGTAAATTCAATTGATTGGACATGATTTGGAAAGGCACACACCTGTCTATATAAGGTCACACAGTTGACAGTGCATGTCAGAGCAAATACCAAGCCATGAGGTCGAAGGAATTGTCCGTAGAGCTCCGAGACAGGATTCTGTCGAGGCACAGATATGGGGAAGGGTAAAAAAACAATTGCTGCAGCATTGAAGGTCCCCAAGAACAGAGTGGCCTCCATCATTCTTAAATAGAAGAAGTTTGGAACCACTAAGACTCTTCCTAGAGCTGGCCGCCCGGCCAAACTGAGCAATCGGGGGAGAAGGGCCTTGGTCAGGGAGGTGACCAAGAACCTGATGCTCACTCTGACAGAGCTCCAGAGTTCCTCTGGCACCATCCCTATGGTGAAGCATGGTGGTGGCAGCATCATGCTTTGGGGATGTTTTTCAGCGACAGGGACTGGGAGACTAGTCAGGATCGAGGGAAAGATGAACGGAGAAAAGTACAGAGAGATCCTCTAGAGTGCTCAGGACCTCAGACTGGGGGCGAAGGTTCCCCTTCCAACAGGACAATGACCCTAAGCACACAGCCAAGACATCGCAGGAGTGGCTTCAGGACAAGTCTCTGAATGTCCTTGAGTGGCCCAGCCAGAGCCCGGACTTGAACCCAATCGAACATCTCTGGAGAGACCTGAAAATAGCTGTGCAGCGACGCTCCCCATCCAATCTGACAGAGCTTGAGAGGATCTGCAGAGAAGAATGGGAGAAACTCCCCAAATACAGGTGTGCCAAGCTTGTAGCGTCATACCCAAGAAGACTCAAGGCTGTAATCGCTGCCAATGGTGCTTCAACAAAGTACTGAGTAAAGGGTCGGAATACTTATGTAAATGTGATATTTCATTAATATTTTTTAAATTAAAAAAACCTGTGTTTGCTTTGTCATTATGGTGTATTGTGTGTAGATTGGTGGGGAAAACCCCCCAATTTAATCCATTTTAGAATAAGGCTTTAACATAACAAAATGTGGAAAAAGTCAAAGGGGTCTGAATACTTTCCGAATGTACTGTATATACTGTATTCTAGTCATGGCTCATCCTATATAACTGTTGTTGTTTCTTTTCTGAATTATGTGTGTCTTGTTTTTTTATTGCTAGGTATTACTGCACTGTTGGAGCTAGAAACACAAGCATTTCGCTGCACCTGCAATAAAATATGCTAATCTGTGTATGCGACCAATAAACGTTGATTTGATACTGTCATGAACATGACAAATGGGGTAATAAGTCATAGCAACTCATGGCAATGCATGACAAAGGATTTAACACGGTCCTGTCATCATGACACATGCGGGGAATTTAGTGGGTTAGGTTGTCAGCAAACTAGCCTTAGCCAGATTGCAGTTGCTTTTAGTATGAAGGAACGTTGTGTATCCACATACAATAGGTTGTTCTGCCCTCCTCCTTGTGTTTACGTCAGTAGCTCAGGATGGAAACTGAAACAAGTCCTTTTGAAGGGTGAGACTGAGAATGCATGTTCCCCCACACATTTGGCATTTATTTACCTATACTACATGATCTGACAAGCTCTTTAATCTTACCCAGCCGCTGGTGCAGTGGACTCCTGCTACAGACTCTGTGGTTATATGGGCCTGGACAGGTCCAGTGTCGCCCATGCAGACACCGTCAAACTAGCCTTCGAGGACCAACCTGATGCCTGGGTGAGAGGTGGAATCGAAATAAAAAGAGATCAAGGTGAAAAGGGTCTCCCGTTTTATGACAAAAACATGGCCTCCTGTGTTTCCAGACCGACCTCAAGACTGACCGCTATATTGACCCAGACAAGGTCTTAAAACATTTTATTACAGAAGACTGTTGACAGAGCAAACACAGTGTCCGAGGCATTCCTGACCGTTTTAATAAATATTTTTACAGATGTTTGCCTGTGCCAAGTCCCTGTACATCTCCGACACAGACAAAAGGAAGCACTTTCGCCTGTTCCTCAAGGTCTTCCTCTGCATGAGCAGTAGCTGATGAAAGTGATCTCCAAGCCAAGTTGGCAGGTTGACGTTTATTGTCATGAGTCTTGTCCTGGAGGCAGAACTGAGCAATTTCCCCTTAGATAGCCCAACTGCAAAGTCAAAATTGGCTATATTGAAATAAAATCATTATTTTGGGGGGGGCTTTTTGGTCTTAATTTAAAATTAGGGATAGCGGTGTGGTTAAGGTTAGGGTTTAGGTTTAAAATCAGATTTTATGACTTTGTGGCTGTGCCAATTAATGACCACTCTGCAGAGCTGCCTCCAGATCAAGATTCATGACGTAAAACGCTAACCTGCTACAGGTTGCCACTCCTAGTTAGTCCAGATATTTGACCTTATGATCCAGGAGCACACACTACGAGTCCAGTTGTGTTGACGTAAGCTCCTGTTCCTTGTAAGATAAAAAGGAGAGGCGCCAGAGAGGCTGAGATCACAAGTGGGGTGACTTTGAATTTCTCATGTTGCCGTGGGAGAATGCGCCACGGCGCACTGTGTGTGAAAGTAAAACAAACCTGCGTTTCTCATGCTGCGTCAATCACTAGTAAGAAGGGTGTATGCTTATTTGTGGGCTTACATGTGGTGTATTTGAGGTGGGTACAATGCGTTGTGCACAATGTGTGGAAGTGAAAAGTGTTTATTATGCTGCGTCAAAACAAATCAAATCAAATGTGTCATGCTGCGTCGGTCATCTGTACTATAATAATATAATAATAATAATAATAATAATAATATGCCATTTAGCAGACGCTTTTATCCAAAGCGACTTACAGTCATGCGTGCATACATTTTTGTGTATGGGTGGTCCCGGGGATCGAACCCACTACCTTGGCGTTACAAGCGCCGTGCTCTACCAGCTGAGCTACAGAGGAACACATCTGTCTGCGTGTTTATGTGTGTGCGCGTCTGAATGTTTGCACGAGTGTGTGTCCATTTGCAGTGTGTATTTCTGCGGTTTCGAGGGTGGCCCTGTTCAACTGCTTGCAGTCCTAAATGGTCAGCACATGTTACCTGGCCGTAGAAGGAAGGGCCTTTGTAGCCAGTGCCAGACAGTGGGCCGTGTTTACAGTCACTCTAGGTATGAATCGCTATCTCAACCACTGTCTGAACTGCTGTCTCTCAGTCCTCCATCCATCTGCACACTCACTCTCTTTTTACTGCTGTGGGCAGAATAACTTGGCAGAGCCCTTATGAAAGGAAGAACTAAATACAGTGAGGGAAAAAAGTATTTGATCCCCTGCTGATTTTGTAAGTTTGCCACTGACAAAGAAATGATCAGTCTATAATCTTAATGGTAGGTTTATTTGAACAGTGAGAGACAGAATAACAAAACAAAAATCCAGAAAAACGCATGTCAAAAATGTTATAAATTGATTTGCATTTTAATGAGGGAAATAAGTATTTGACCCCCTCTCAATCAGAAAGATTTCTGGCTCCCAGGTGTCTTTTATACAGGTAACGAGCTGAGATTAGAAGCACACTCTTAAAGGGAGTGCTCCTAATCTCAGCGTGTTACCTGTATAAAAGACACCTGTCCACAGAATCAATCAATCAATCAGATTCCAAACTCTCCACCATGGCCAAGACCAACGAGCTCTCCAAGGATGTCAGGGACAAGATTGTAGACCTACACAAGGCTGGAATGGGCTACAAGACCATCGCCAAGCAGCTTGGTGAGAAGGTGACAACAGTTGGTGCGATTATTCGCAAATGGAAGAAACACAAAAGAACTGTCAATCTCCCTCGGCCTGGGGCTCCATGCAATATCTCACCTCGTGGAGTTGCAATGATCATGATAACGGTGAGGAATCAGTCGAGAACTACACGGGAGGATCTTGTCAATGATCTCAAGGCAGCTGGGACCATAGTCACCAAGAAAACAATTGGTAACACACTACGCCGTGAAGGACTGAAATCCTGCAGCGCCCGCAAGGTCCCCCTGCTCAAGAAAGCACATATACATGCCCGTCTGAAGTTTGCCAAGAACATCTGAATGATTCAGAGGAGAACTGGGTGAAAGTGTTGTGGTCAGATCAGACCAAAATCGAGCTCTTTGGCATCAACTCAACTTGCCGTGTTTGGAGGAGGAGGAATGCTGCCTATGACCCCAAGAACACCATCCCCCACCGTCAAACATGGAGGTGGAAACATTATGCTTTGGGGGTGTTTTTCTGCTAAGGGGACAGGACAACTTCACCGCATCAAAGGGACGATGGACGGGGCCATGTACCGTCAAATCATGGGTGAGAACCTCCTTCCCTCAGCCAGGGCATTGAAAATGGGTCATGGATGGGTATTCCATCATGACAATGACCCAAAACACACGGCCAAGGCAACAAAGGAGTGGCTCAAGAAGAAGCACATTAAGGTCCTGGAGTGGCCTAGCCAGTCTCCAGACCTTAATCCCATAGAAAATCTGTGGAGGGAGCTAAAGGGTCGAGTTGCCAAACGTCAGGCTCGAAACCTTAATGAAGATCTGCAAAGAGGAGTGGGACAAAATCCCTCCTGAGATGTGTGCAAACCTGGTGGCCAACTACAAGAAACGTCTGACCTCTGTGATTGCCAACAAGGGTTTTGCCACCAAGTACGTAGTCATGTTTTGCAGAGGGGTCAAAAACGTATTTCCCTCATTAAAATGCAAATCAATTTATAACATTTTTTACATGTGTTTTTCTGTTTTGTTGTTGTTGTTATTCTGTCTCTCACTGTTCAAATAAACCTACCATTAAAATTATAGACTGATCATGTCTTTGTCAGTGGGCAAACGTACAAAATCAGCAGGGGATCAAATACTTTTTTCCCTCACTGTACTAGGGATACCGGAACCGAGTCAATGTGCAGGGGTATGGTTAGTCGAGATAATTGAGGTAATATGTACATGTAGGTAGGGGTAAAGTGTCTATGCATAGATAATAAACAGAGAGTAGCCGCAGTGTATGTGAGGACTGTGAAGGAATTTGAATATGTGTGTGTGTGCGTGTGCCGTCAGTATGCATGTGTGTGTGTGTGTGTGTGTGTGTGTGTGTGTGTGTGTGTGTTTTGTGTGTGCGTGTGTGTGTGTGGTTAGTGTCCAGTGAGTGTACATTGAGCCTGTGCAAGAGAGTCAGTGCAAAGAATGATAATAAATAATAATAAAATAAGGGGGTCAAGGCAAATAGTCTGGGTAGCCATTTAATTAACTGTTCAGCAGTCTTATGGCTTGGGGGTAGAAGCTGTTAAGGAGTCTTTTGGTTCCAGACTTGGCGAGAACAGTCTATGACTTGGGTGGCTGGAGTCCTTGACAATTTTTAGGGCCTTCCTCTGACACCGCCTGGTATAGAGGTCCTGGATGGCAGGAAGCTCAGCCCCAGTGATGTACTGGGCCGTACGCACTACCATCTGTAGTGCCTTGCGGTCGGATGCCGAGCAGTTGCAATACCAAGCGGTGATACGACCAGTCCGGATGCTCTCAATGGTGCAGCTGTAGAACTTTGAGGATCTGAGGTCCCATGCTAAATCTTTTCAGCCTGCTGATGGGCACTCTTCACGACTGTGTTAATGTGATAGGTCATTATTGATGTGGACACCAAGGAACTTGAAGCTCTCAACCCACTCCACTGCAGCCCTGTTGATGTGAATGGGGACATACTCGGTCCTCCTTTTCCTGTAGTCCACGATCAGCTCCTTTGTCCTACTCACGTTGAGGGAGAGGTTGTTGTCCTGTCACCACACTGCCAGGTCTCTTACCTCCTCCCTATATGCTGTCTCAGCAACGTCTGTGATCAGGCCTACCACTGTTGTGTTGTCGGCAAACTTAATGATGGTGTTGAAGTCGTGCGTGCCAATTCAGTGAACGGGGAGTACAGGAGGGGAATAAGTACGCACCTCTGAGGGGCCCCCGTGTTGAGGGTCAGAGTGGCGGATGTGTTGTTGCCTAACCTCACCACCTGGGGGCGGCCCTGTCAGGAAGTCCAGGATCCAGTTGCAGAGAGAGGTGTTCCGTCCCAGGGTCCTTAGCTTAGTGATGAGCTTGGAGGGCACTATGGTGTTGAACGATGAGCTGTAGTCAATGAACAGCATTCTCACGTAGGTGTTTGTTTTGTCCAGGTGGGAAACGGCAGTGTGTAGTGCAATAGAGATTGCATCATCTGTGGTTCTGTTGGGGCGGTATGGAAATTGGAATGGGTCTAGGGTTTCCAGGATGATGGTGTTGATGTGAGCCATGACAAACCTTTCAAGGCATTTCATGGCTGCAGATGTGAGTGCTACAGGGCAGTAGTCTTTTAGGCAGGTTATCTTGGTATTCTTGGGCACAGGGACTATAGTGGTCTACTTTAAACAGTAGGTATTACAGACTGGGTCAGGTAGAGGTTGAAAATGTCAGTGAAGACACTTGCCATCTGGTCAGCGCATGCTCTTTTTGTAAACCGTGATAGTTTGCAAGCCCTGCCACATCCGACGGGAATCAGAGCCGGTGTAGTAGGGCGGCACGTTGTGTCAGAAACCAAAGGGTCGCTGGTTCAAATCCCTGAGCCGACTAGGTGAAAAATCTGTCGATGTGCCTTTGAGCAAGGCACTTAAACCTAATTGCTCCTGTAAGTCGCTCTGGACAAGAGCATCTGTTTGATGGTTCGTCGGAGGACGTAGCAGGATTTCTTATAAGCGACCGGATTAGTGTCCCGCGCCTTTAGCTCAGTGCGGATGTTGCCTGAAATCCATGGATCTGGTTGGGATATGCACGTACGGTCACTGTGGGGACGACGTCGTCGATGCTCTTATTAATGAAGCTAGTGACTGATATGGTATACTCCTCAATACCATCGGATGCATCC